AGGGAGGAGGAGGAGGAGGAGGTGGAGGAGGAGGTGGAGGAGGAGGATAGGTCCAAGGCGCGCGAGAGACTTTTTGTCGCAATTCGCGACAGTTTAATAGCTTGCTCACGCTTTAGATACAATATAGGGAAAGGGACATTTCCACCCTCCTCCCCCTTTAGCGTCCTGGGGGGATTTATTGTCGATTTCATAGAGCGCGACGCGCAATCGGCTCGTCGAGAAAATTTCGACCGATCGGACGAACACGCCAGACTGTCGATAAGCCGCGCGATGCACCGTTAATCTGCATGCGCGCGCGTAGTTCAGCGCTCGCTCGCGAATCTGCTTCTCGAGATTCGCTCGAAAGTAATATGACGATGAGGTCGAGTAGCATTTATCCTGATCGTAATTTTGAGAAAATGAACGAAAGAATCGTCTTCTTTAACGTTTTCTACGATACCTTTAAGAAATGCAAGTATAAATAATCAATTTCTTGAGGAAGAAAGTCCAAAAAAATACATTAATGTAGAAGTAAATGACATTACACTTTAAGATAGGTATGTATATTATTTAGGATTAAGTAAATGAATGTTAATATGAAATCATATAGTGAAACTTGCTTGCACTCACTTTAGTATTAATCAATTCTTAATTTTTTTCTTATTTAAGCTTTTCTTATAGAAAACATAAATTTATTATTTATAATTTTAGCAATTATTCGTTTTTTTACTAACTATATTGTTTCAAAGTAATCTTATTTGGAATTTTTAATAATAAAAATTCCAAACTTTTTAATAATAAAAAATTAATAATAAAGTAAACAAATAATTACATTTTTAATAATAAATGCGAGAAAAATACTTCAGATATTACGGAAACACAATGAACTCTTTAACGAATTTTATTCTAATTATCACAATAATGAAATTCAATTTCATAACTTTATTAGCTTTAATTTTGCAACATTAATTACATGCATATCTTGATTCATCATGAACTTCTGATTGCTCTAATCATTTATTATTTTGCGACAAAATACATTTTTCCGTTAACATTCGTTTGATAAATTATAACGCAACAGCAAATACTTTCATCGATGCGTTCATTACAAATGATTGACACTTGAGATCTGTAACAGTATTTACATTACGATGATGTTTTGATGCTTCGTTGACGCAACCTCGAAGGAATCGTTTCACAAGTCCACGATTAAATCGCGTGACCTTGTCAGGGCTCCACGTTGCTAATATAATGACATATGCTCTCAATGACAGTCAGAAACGTCGTTGTGACTTAATAGCATCCACTGGCATGGAAACGAACGTGTTAAGCATTCATGAGATCATTGCTGTATTCATCGTAGCCATGTATATTTTTTTGCGTATGAAAAATAAACGACCAATTTCTGCCTTCAGATTCCCATAAAAGCAAAGCATACCAATCTATGATTTACATAAAGATTATTCCGTCCGTTTTAAATCACTTATGTTTTTCTTGGATACAAAAATATACAGTCTAATAATATATATCTCAGAATGTAAAATTTAATACAATTAAATATTGATCATACCTTCAGAGAATCAGAATATCAAAATTTAAATTTCAAATTTTTATATTGTATAAAGTAGATAATTTCATAATTAAATCCTGATTAAAGCTTTAAATATATATTTAACATTTGTATATAACAGAGGATAGAAGAAGGGAATAGTGGAAGGAATTGGTCTCTGGAAAAGTGGAAATTATGATTTTTCTTAATAAAGTTGCTGCAGCTTTCAATCGCGTGCAACGTTGCAACATGTGAATGTATTTGTCGCCTTAAGCAAAGCCACTATCGTACTTATTCGCATTCGTATTTATATATAGAATCCCACTCATACGTAATGTCACATCGATAATATATCAATAAACAGACTTTTTTTTCGTGGACGAGCCGATAAGGAGCAATAGCCTCGCGTGGACCTTTTTTGTTTATCTATGAATTACTGATTAGCGATAATTGCATACTGCGAATATAGCATCGGTAGGATCAATCGAGGCAGAAGTTAGCTTATATCGAAAATGAGATAGGCGAGTAATTGTCGGCTATTAAATTAGGTAATAATCAGTAATAATACACCTGGTATATAACTGGAAACTTTTTCTAGGAATTTATTATACTCTTCCAACTCATAAGTTTTTTTTTCTCATTTATAATGTAATATTAAAATGTGATTTTTATTGAATACTATGTGTTATTTTAGAAATGGCTTGACATAATTAATTTTAATGTAGTATGACTTGATTTAATTTTCAACATTCTTACCTGCATGTTTTATTTTTTTTTTTTTTCAAATATTTATAACATATATTACATGAGTATAAATTGAAAACAATGAGTTAGTCTTGTCAGTTTTCATCAGGATATATCGGAAACATTTATGTGATTGAATAATAAAAAGCATGACAAATAATAAGAAAAATGCTGTTACTCGGTTATTACTTATGAAGTTTGAATAAATTGTATATAATGTATACAAATTTATTCAAATAAATGCATAGTCTCAAATGTCTCAATAAATTTGCAATAGAAAAATTGCACACTACATGAGAATAGAACATTTAAAAGTTGACTATTTATATGAGTTATAATTTTGTTTTGGAAAAAATGTGTTGAATTTAACATAAATTGCTTGTCCCAAACAGTCAAATTTTTGAGTTAATTTTACACAAGATAAATATATTAGAAGGCAACACAAATATAATGTAAGAGAATAAATACAAAAAAAGATAACATCGGTACAGTTTGTTGTAAACAAACCGTGAAAGTATATTTTTTGTCAGAAAATTAACATTT